ATTGCTTTGGGCAGTATTGACATTTTCACAATGTTAAGTCTTCTTATCCAGGAGCATGGTATATTCTTCCATTTTTGTAAGTTTCTTTTGGTTTCTTGTAGTAGTGTTTTGTAGTTTTCTTTATATAGATCCTTTGTTTCTCTGGTTACATTTATTCCTAGATATTTCATCCTTTAGGTGGCTATTGTAAATGGCATTGCTTTCCTAATGTCCTTTTCAGTGCTGTCGTTTTTGGTATAGAGGAATCCAACTGGTTTTTGTATATTGATCTTATATCCTGCCACTTTGTTGATTCATCCAGCACTATGAGTTTTTAAGACCCTGGTTGCTATTCTCCAAAATATGAAGTTATTGTTGTTGTTAAGTGCCATCGAGTAGTTTCCAACCCAGAATGACCATGTATAGGGTTTCCAAGGAGTGGTTGGTGAGCTTGAATCGCCAACCTTGCAGTTCAAAATGACTTTGCCTTCCAGTGCATTAATCCACATCACCACACCAGGACTCCAAGTATGAAGTAGTACATTGGTTTTGTGGGTTATGTTATGCCAGCTACCTTGATGTCCCCCAAGATCATGATTCTGAGGCCTCAGGCCCTATGACTCATTCCCTCAAGATATTGGGTTATGTCTAAAAAGGGGAAGAATTTCTTAAAGAAGACATATAAAAGCAGACCATAAAGTATTGATAATTTCCATTACATTAAATTTAAGAACTTCATTTTTCAAGAGTTCCTTGTTGTTGTTAAATGCCATCAAGTCAGTTCCAACTCATAGCAACCCTGTATATAGGGATTCTGAGGAATGGATGGTGGGCTTGAACTGCCGACCCTGTGGTTAGCAGTTCAGTATTTCTCCTACAGCATCACATTAAGCCCCAAATTAGGAGAACATATTTGCCAAATATATAACTAAAAGGAATTAGTCTTTGGAATATATATTTTTAAAAAGCTAAAACTATTGATAATAGTAATAAAAAAAGACATCATTTAGGCATTCATAGAAGAAAGAACACAAATGAACAATAAAAATGTTATAAGATGCTCAACGTCATTTGTAATCAGGAAAGACAAATTAACACAATGAAATACTATTTCATACCCACCAGAATGGTAACTAGTTTAGGCCTAATACCAAATGATGGTGAGTTTATGACGCAATATGTACTTTCACACACAGCTAGTGGCAGTGTGGCTTGATGTGACCAACTCTGCTTTATTCATAGTTCACAAGTACCCTGTGAGTCAGCAATTTCACTTTTAGGTGTAAACCTTAGAGAACTTTTGTACATGTACATCAGGAAGTGAATAAAAGAATGCTCAGAGCAGCACTGTTTCTAAAGGCAAACCCCTCCCCCCAAACTGGGAGAAACCCCTGGTATCTAACACCAATAGAATGGACAAATCAACCAAGATATATATTCATACAATGGAATTACAGTGGACAAAATTAACTGATGATAGTTATAACCATGATCAAAGATAAATCTGAAAAACAGTCTAAAGGAAAGAAGAGAGATGAAAATTGAAGATACATGGAAGTATTTAGTCCAATGGACTAAAAGACCACACGAACATCAGGTTCCAGGATGCTGAGACCAGAACTAGATGATGCCCTGCTACTATGATCAAATTCTCTGAAAAGGGATTATATTAGAAGGTCCTCAATAGAGTGAAAGAAAAATGTGGAGCAAAACTCAAAATCATAAAACAGACCAGTCTTAATGATAAGAGACTGGTGGAATTCTCGAATCCATGACCATTAGTCATCCTTCAGGTCTGGAACTGACCATGGCTCAATTTTCAAACAAACAATAAACAGTTCTAGTGTTTGAGTCACAGGTCAGCAGTTCAAACCCACCAACTGCTCCTTGGGAACCCTATCCAGGGTTGTTATGAGTCAAAACCGACTCAGTGGCACTTAACAACAACAACATTATAGCATCCGACTTATAGCAACCCTGTATAGGGTTTCCAAGACTATAAATCTTTGTGGGAGCAGAAAGTCCCATCTTTCTCCCAAGGAGCAGCTGGTGAGCTTGAAGCACTGACCTTGTGGTTCAGTGCTTATCTGATTGCGTCTCATTGTAAAGAGCCACCATGCACCCCAAAATGAGTCTATAAGGATAACAATAAAACTAGTGAATTATGCACACCTTAGAATAAACAACCATTTAAAATCTAAAGGGCAACATTTACCAAAGGACAAAGTTTACAAGGGTTTAAGGAAAGAAGGAGGAATAGAAACAGGAAACACAGGAGGAAGCGGGAGAAGTGATGCTACGTTGTGGAGATTACAACCAGTAAGATGAAACAAAATGTGCATGAATTGTTGAATGGAAAACTGATGATTTTCTCTGCTCTTTAAACCTTCACCCAATTCACAGTATAAAGTTAAATACATCAGACAAAAAAAAAAAAAGAACAAGAACATTTATCATAGGATGTAAACCAAAATTAAGGGCAATTTCTCTTTCTTTCTGTGTTGCACTAGAAGAAACTTCCAAACCAGGTGAGACTCACATGTATGAATGTGCTTGCTTGTAGATTATACCAAAAGGTTGAGAAGACACTAAAATCAATTTCATGCTTCACATGCCAAGATGTACACATGAGCACAAGGATGCTTGTTTCTGAAGGAAGGTGTGCTTTTCTTTTTTTTTTTTAACTGCACAGATTTAGCATGGGTTTGTTCTGGTTCTACAAAATCCTAATGTTGAATAGATAGATAAATCACAGAAGTAAATTCTGTATGATTCTACTTATATGAAATACAAAACCCAACATTATATATATATACACATGAAGAAAAATGTAGCATCAGGATTGGAGGAAGACTCATTAACAACCTGTGATATACAGATGATACAACCTTGCTTGCTGAAAGTGAAGAAGACTTAAAATATTTACTGATGAAGATCAAAGAGCACAACCTCTGGTATGGATTGCATCTAATGTAAAGAAAACAAAAATCCTGGACCAATAAACAACTTTCTTATCAACAGAGAAAAGATTGAAGTTGTCAAGGATTTCATTCTTCTTGGATCAACTATCAACACTCACATAGAAGTAGCAGTCAAGAAATCAAATGATGTATTGCATTAGGCAACTCTGCTGCACAAGACTTTTTTCAAAGTGTTGAAGAGCAAAGATGTCAGCTTGAAGACTAAAGTGTGTCTCCTTTCAGAAAATTTGCTTCAGGTGAAATGATAATTGTGCCTTTCGTTATTACTTTAATCCCTCTTCTCCATAGGCTTGACTCTGAATGTGGAAATACAATAAGGATGATTTGTTGTTGTCATTGTTAAGTGCTGTAGAGTTGGTTTCGATCCATAGTAACCCTGTATAGGGTTTCTAAGGAGAGGCTGGTGAGCTTGAACTGCCGACCTTGTGGTTCAAACTGACTGTGCAGTCCAGCATCACACCAGGATGATTTAGAGATGTTTAAAAAGATGCAAAGGTCCCCAATCTTCACTATAGACCTGTATCCTAATACAGTAAGGGAGGAGAGAAGCTCTAAATTGTATTAAAATGTGAAGCCTCCTCACTTCTTACTCCTGAGCTGAATATTTAATTACTAAAATGGGACTTTTCTTGTGATCTGAATTCAAATAGGAACAGGGAAAGAATCAGCCCACAGCAGATTTGAAGGAACAGTGGCAGAAAGAAAACGACTGAGCAGTATTTCATTCTGCTGTGCGTGCGCTCAACATGAATTGGATCCAACTGAATGACAGCAGGTAACAATATTCTCTTCCTATAGAGTCCAGTTTGTTTAATATGATGGTTACACATGCAATCAGTGTGCTAGCTATAAGTAATCCTTATCTAACTCCTACAGGTGCTAAATAGGGAAGTGTCTACATTCCAAATGAATGGGATAGTATTAGGACAGCTTAATAGAATATGATAGAAAGTTGGTTCCATTTCCTAATGATCCAGCACCAAATTCTATTTCCTGTGGAGGTGAATTACGGCCACTGTATAAGTGTATAAGAGTAAGAGGCAGGAGGGTATGAGTCTGTAGTTTTAGAAATATTCAGATAAGAACTCCACTAGAAAGAAGATTTGTTTGCGTTGTATAGCATTATAACTTCAGTGCCTTCTACACAGGAAGGAAATACATTTGTTGATAATTGAATGCATGGAACTCTAAGATGCAAACAGGAAAATGTAAAAACGGCTCAAAGCTTGAGCTGCAAATTTTAGTTAGTTACGATCATAATGATTTTAAAGATGAGGGGCTGTAAACCATTTGATGGTGAGTTGAGTCCCAGCTTGATAATAAGGATACTGAGGATGTCTTAAATCAGTCAGCAGAGAGCAAATGGGCTGATGATCCAAGTAACAATAATCAGAAATCCCTATCAGTATGAATCACAAACTATAAAAAACTTTTGTTCAAATTCTCTATGGAGAATATTTTTATTTATATTCTTCTTACATACTCTAAAACGCACAGTGTGGACTTCCTCTCTTCAAAAACAGTTGTGAGCCTGGTCAATTTATCTGAGATCTTCGGAAGGTCTTCGGAAACATTACCTTAGGTTTCAGCTAAGTGAGTCACAGAGATTGGTCATGAAGAACTACAAAATTACAGGGATCTACAGTTAGTATCCAACAGCTACTAGAAAAGCACTGAGAACACCAGACATACAGCCAGACAAAGCAGGGAATAGAAGACCAGATGCAACTTAAGTCATGGAATTTCCATATATATGACTCTATATACAGTATCAGGATTCATTTACAGGCAGTTCAGTAAACTTATGCTTAAGTCATTATTTAAGGGCACTCTAATATAAATACAAGTCTCACTAACTTTTATCTTTTCTCTTTGGCTCACAAATGCACGAAAATACCATAAACAGTTTCCAGAACTTACTTCAATAATATATAAATAAGATACATTACAAATGAGAAAAAAATACCACACACCTCTTTAACATGATAAATCTCTGAATATAAATAATCAAATATTTCATCTACCTACAATTCAACAATCATTGAAATCATTACATGTGTTCTTCCTCTCCCCCAAGATCAGACAACACACTCTACACAAATTAATCTCTAAAACACAGCAATAGTACCTCTGTAACAATGCTACTATTTTCCCCTAATAGGATATTAACAGGGAAGGTGTGACTTTTCAACTAGTGTTGATTTTTCTCATCCATCATGACTTCAGGTAAGTGAAACGACGACAGTCAGGTCAACTCCTACCACCAGCATTTCCCTTGGTCCCCAGGACTCTACATTTTGAACAACATCTTTCTTGTAATTGTTGGGCAAGCTGGTTTGCATCATGTTTAGCCTGCAGTAACTGTTGAAGATAAAGCTAATTCTCTTGGAGTGGGAAACATGCTGTAAACTATTTCTAAGCCACACTCATTATACATATATATATATATAGAGAGAGAGGTATATATAACTGTACATATATACTGTGTTTCTAATGTGCAACTTTTTAAAAAGAACTGTCCAGCTAGCTATAACAAACAAGCTTAAGTAAGATTTTAACAGCATTCTTCAAGATATTATATATTCCCTCAGTGAAATGGACTATGTGGTTTTGTAACTTATAGAGGTTTGTTCTAGGGTGGCAGGGGAAAGAGACCTTCTCCACTAACTCATGTTCTGCTGAGGGAGATTACAGATCCTGGCCCAATCTTTCTATCTCCTCAATGAGGAAGTCGACGTCAGACTGGGTAGCAGCTGGATTTGAGATGACCATCCGGAAGAAGTTAGCCTTGTCCCCTTGAGGCTGGTAACCAACCATGGTTGTACCCGACTCCATCATTAAAGCTTTGATTTTTGGAGCCACCTTATGATGAAAAACATAAAACAAACCATAAGAATGATATGAATACCCCTCTCTTTTCTAACAATTCAATCCATTTCTTGGTTGGAAAAAGAGCAACTTGCTTTTTACTATTTGTGTTTACATTGGGGAAAAGGTAAAGAAATACTTTATATCAATGTATCTTCAGTGGTTATGAATATTTAATGTCTACCTACTCATCAGTTCCTTCAGAAAGTACCGTGAGACTAAATTTTGAGAACATCAGCCTTGGCTGATAATAAAATAAAAAACTCTTATAGGTAACAATATAAATTAAGGCTTCTGCATAACTCAGAGCCCAGCCTACTTCATTCCACACAGACTGTGCTCAATAAAATTAATTAAATATACCAATATATGGACATAATATATAGAAAAGATGTAAAGATAAACAGCCAGAATGAATCAGCATTAGAGTAAACATAAAGCCACTTTAACATGTGCCATTCAGTTGATTCTAACTCATAGTGATCCTATCAGACAAAGTAGAACTGTCCTATAGTTTCCTATTCTGTAATCTTCACCGGGGTAGACTGCTGCATCTTTCTCCCTGGTAGGCTTGAACTGCCAAGCTTTTAGTTAAATATTAACCCAATGTTTAACAGTTGTACCACCAAGGCCCCCATGTGGTCCCAGTTGTTTTTAGGTGCCATTGAGTCAGTTCTGACTGAGAGTGGCCTTATATACAACAGAACAAAACACTGCCTGGTCTTGTGCCATCCTCACAATTACTGTTGATGGTGCAAATAGTTAAAGTGCTCCATGTTAATGGAAAAATTGCCTGTTTGAATCCACTCAGATGTGCTTAGGAAGAAAGATCTGGTGATCTGCTTTCAAAATAATCAACCACTAAAAACCCAATGGAGCATAGTTTTACTTTGACACACATATGAGTTGCCATGAGTTGGAACAGATTTGATGGCAACTGTTGCTTTTTTTAAGACCATGTACATTACTCCACTGCCTTTTTAATGAAGAACGCCAACCTAAGGTAGAGATTCATCCTTTAGTTGTTCCCTCCTTCTGAACCACAGGAAAGAGGCAATCAATGTCCAAGGAGAACAATGCAACAATATAGTTATAAGCTCACCCAAGTCTTCAGTTTTTATTTCTCCCCCATTAGAAAGACTCACCAGAATGTGGTCATCCTGACTAGACCGGGAGATTGTAGGGAATTGAATGAGACAAGGAGAGATCACATACCCTGTGGAGCTTTTCCCGTCGTTCAGGGCTATCCGGAACACCCCTTAGGCTTTGTGGAATATACCAGAAGCAGACGTTTGTGTGCTCAGGCTGCAGAGATTTAACAAACAAGCATCAAAAAAAAAAAAAAAAGTGAAACAAAGACAATCATGAGTCTTGAGAGAAATCTGTTCCCAACACCCATATGGTTCCTTTGGTGGAAATTTTTCAGATTGTCCATTTTGAAAACAAGGTTAACAGAATACCCAGGAGAACAATGGCTAATTGACCCAATTCCAACTGGCAAGGGAAGTACCCCCATAGCAACTTTTCTAGATAACCAAAGTTACCACCTTTAAACAGTAATAGTTTTTGTGTTTTTAAAAATACATCATTGGGTAACATATACCTCATATATAGAAGATGCTTGAAAAATAGTTTATTTTGAATATTTTAATGAGTTTATTATACTGTTACTAAATATTGCCTTTATTACTCATGATTGTTATTTTGAAAATGAATACTGGTTTTAAGCCATAAGACAAGGCTTATGAAATGCCTAAAACTGTCCAGCATCTGTGCACTAAAGACTTGTATTTTTTTTGTGTGTGTTTTGTTATAGTTGTTCGGTGTGCTTATGTGGTACCTTGAATTTACTTAATATGGCTTTCCTATCCAATGTCTTCTTAATTTCCACTAAGTTGATTGGTGGGATCATGCAAGTAAGTTGCACAGGACTCTAAGGCTGGAATTGGTTAGTTTTGCCATTCAGCTAGATTTAAAAAGAGCCATATCAGAAGCAGGAAAGGATGATCCCAGGACCATCAAGAAGGAAGAAGATGAGTGGAGTGTGAGATCCCTACCTTGAAAAGCTGCAATAGCAGAGGTGATGGCAGAGGTGGTGGCATGGAGAGTCACAGCAGCTGTGGACTCTAGGCCCATGGACTGAGTAAAGCTGAGTGTCTATGGGCAGGAGACTGGCTTGCAGTACGTGTCCTTTGGGCATTCATAGACTGGCTAAAAGATCTTTGCGACACCAAACAGGGCAGAGGCCAAAGGGTCACATATCACAGAAGCAGCTTGTTACAGTTTTTTCCAGGTATTGCGCTGCATGTTAATGTACTGGACTGCAAAGTCACTTTGAACCACAAGGTTCAAACTCACCAGCCAATCCTCAGAAACCCTGTACAGGGTCTCTATGAGTCAGAACCAACTCGATGGCACTTAATAACAACAACAATAGTTTTTTCAGCTTCTTTCTAGTTGTCATCCTTATGTCTGCTTCTAACTGGCTTGAGACATCACACTTGCTTTTTCTAATCTGCTATTAAAATGTTTAACACTCAACATCGTATCATGGATTTTAATGCTCAAGATTCTTACGTTTACTTGGTGGCTCTCAGGTGTATCCCTAGTTTAGGTTGCTTGGTAAATGGACTAATGTTGAATGTAGGTGGTATTCTATATTATTGGGTTATACGTGGATGTTCTTTTCAGCACTGGTCCCTCCTCCATCTTTCTTGATTCAAACTGTGAGCACCGTTAGGGCAGGAACAATGATCTGTTTGGGTCAATTCTACAGAACCTAACTGCCGGCACAGTGCCTGGCATGAGGCAGCCACTTAGTACCTATTGGTATGACAAATACTTTACTGTATGTAATGTGGATATGAAGTCAGGGCCGACAATTTTATCTTGTTCTCATAATGAATCTACATAGAATCTTATAGAACCAGTCTTGGAAGTTAAGGATATATCCAGCCTATAAGCTTCCTGAAACTGAGAAACACTTTATTGTGGAAGTTCAACACAACAGTAAGACAAATTCAACAATAATGGATTCAGATCTGGCAAGGATAGACCCCCTTTCTGCAAAGGGCTGGCTGAGAGCTACTCATTATAGAAGAGGTCAAAGGGAAGAGCCTTCCAAATGCTACTGGAAGAAGAAAGAATTAAATAGAGGGTGGGTAAGAATAAAAATTCAGAAGCAGCATCATGTAATATAGGATAATATGACTAGAGGAACTTCCCCCATTAGGTTTTCCAGAAATATTTTGCATCCAGTCTATGATGACAACCTACCTCGCCATCGAACACCATCTCAAATTCTTCTCTGTTTTTAATCTTGGCATAGAGGTATTCGGCCAGTTCTAAGCATTTGTTGACCTGATGTTCAAATCCTACTGTGCCCTGTTTTAAAAAAAGAAAAGGTGTTTCCCTGTGATTGTACATTGGGAAAGGCTATGCATCCTGACTACAGGAAATATACAAAGATTATTCTTGGGGATAGTTAGGAAGAACCATCTAACTAAATGTGTGTAAAGTGTCTTTGCAGCTCTGCATGTAATAAACTGACGTGGGGCCTGCGTTCTCTTTTGAAAGTACTTTGGTCTCCAGTGAGTTATTCTCAAGAGGGTTCTAGCTTTAGCTTTCTGTTTGTTATTCACAGTCGGGACCTGAAGCATCTATCTGGTTTTAGGATTATTGTTGTTAAGTGCTAGTGAGTCAGTTCCAACTCACAGCGACCAAGTATTGGGTTTCCAAGGAGCAGCTGGTGGGTTTGAACCATCGGCCTGTGGTTAGCAATCAGTGTTTATCCTACAGCGCCATACCAGAACTCCTGTTTTAGGATTTTCTTGTTGTTGTTAAGTGCCGTTGAGTTGGTTCCAATCCATAGCAACCCTGTATAGGGTTTCT